AATTGTAATATCTTGGTGAGGGTTTTGTTGTGCCTTCAGGCAAACTATAAAAGGAACACTAATTTAAATAAATACAAACAATGTTATTTTGTTCTTAAGATTCATGCAACCACATCAATGTAAGTGAATCCTTATATGGTATTCATTCAAGTGTGAAACCAAACTTAGGGATGCTTTAAAATTTAACAATCAGGAACAAGACTCTGTTTAAAAAAAAAAAAAAAAAAAGAAATGTTAGAACTCTGTCAAACTATAAAAATATAAAGTGAAATAGCACAGTGCAGAACAGACTGTACAGACCAGTGTGCTACCTTTCGTGTAAAGGGGAATTACATATATTATATATAAAATTTTTTATTATTTATGTATATACAGTACTCGCTATATATGCATAAAGTCTGAAAGTACATGCTGGGGGCAAGGGGTGGATGGGAGACAAGGATGGAAGATTTTTTTTGTTGGTTTGTTTTTGGAGACCGTGTCTCACTCTGTCAATCAGGCTGGAGTGTGGTGGCACGATCTTGGCTCACTGCAACCTCCACCTCCCAGGTTCAAGTGATTCTCCCACCTCAGCCTCCTGAGTAGCTGGGACTACAGGTGTGCGTCACCACGCCCAGCTAATTTTTGTATGTTTATTAGAGATGAGGTTTTGCCAATACATATATATTGGCCAGGCTGGTCTCGAACTCCTGACCTCAGGTGATCTGCCCACCTCGGTCTCCCAAAGTGCTAGGATTACAGGATTATGGGTGTGAGCAGTGAGCAGCCTGGAAGATTTTTTGTTATATACTGTTTAAAAGTCTTTAAGTAGTTGAAACACATGAAGACATCACCTCAAAAAGTCATATTAACGATTCAAAAATATGCACATTAAGGATTAATTTGTTTGAAAATTTAAAAATTGAGAAATATCACAGGACAGTAATACAGTAATCATGAATAATTACAAAAATAAGTGCTGGCTGGGCATGGTGGCTCATGCCTGTAATCTCAGCACTTTGGGAGGCCGAGGCGGGTGGATAACAAGGTCAGGAGCTCGAGACCATCCTGGTTAACACGGTGAAACCCCATCTCTACTAAAAACAGAAAAAATTAGCCGGGCCTGGTGGCAGGTGCCTGTAGTCCCAGCTACTCGGGAGGCTGAGGCAGGATAATGGCATGAACCCGGGAGGCGGAGCTTGCAGTGAGCCAAGATCGCACCACTGCACTCCAGCCTGGGCGACAGAGCAAGACTGTCTCAAAAAAAGAAAAGTATCCCTGGAAAGTAAAATTGAGTAGAGACTTTAAATGGGTTATTATCACCTTTGACTTTATAAACCTGCACACTAACACACAAAATGTGTATGTATTTAATTACAAATAGTAATTAAATTAAAGACCTGGCGTGGTGCCTCACACCTATAATCTCAGCACTTTGGGAGGCAGAGGCAGGAGATCACTTGAGGCGGGAGTTTGAGACCAACCTAGGAAACAAGTGAAATCCCCTTTTTTTTTTTTTTTTTTTTGAGACTGAGTCTGGCTCTGTCGCCCAGGCTGGAATGCAGTGACACAATCTCGGCTCACTGCAACCTCCATACCGTGGGTTCAAGCAATTCTCCTGCCTCAGCCTCCCGAGTAGCTGGGATTACAGGCACCTGGCAACACACTCAGCTATTTTTTGTATATTTTACATATTTAGTAGAGATGGGGTCTTGCCTTGTTGGCCAGGATGGTCTCGAACTCCTGACCTCAGGTGATCCGCCTGCCTCGACCTCGCAAAGTGGCTTACAGGCGTGAGCCACCACACCCGGCCTGAAATCCCCTATTTTTAAAAAGGGTAAATAAATGTTTTTTTTTTCCCTCTGGGAGTGACAATACATGGAAATTTCACTTTCTACATCACTAATTTTATGAATGTGCTTATGTTGCTCTATACTGCTTTTCAAAACTTTTCTAGTACCTATGCTTGTAATTCAGAATTTCTCATTGAACTTGATAGAAGCACTTTAGTTCAAGGGGCCAAGTGTTCTTCAGTGAGTTTTCAAGTGAGCATCCTCACCTCTACAACACTCACACAGCTTAAAACAGACTAATGTTCGCTCATGTCAAGATCCTGCCAGCTCTGCACAATGCTGTAACACCAATATGACCCAGTTCCCACATCCCACATCTTCAACAGCTTTAGCAGCCACGGCCTTTCTTGCACTTGACTTGATGCAGCTTTGAAGTTTTCAAAAAGCACTTGACACTGATTTATCAACGTTGCAATGCCTGACACCAAGTGTTCATCTTTAAGACTATTCAAGGTATTTTTTCCTTATACTAAGGTCACACAGATTTTAATGGGCACTAAAATTACACAGAAATTTGCATACTAACTGGAAGTGATCGCCTGCCTAGTAGTGGTTGAGTTTGTTGGGTTCTTGTAATGTTTCCTGATTCACGTACTCACTTGCATGGGAGGGTCATGGAAATTATTATACATTAGATGCACTCATAATGAAAACTCACAAAAGATTTCCTTAAGATTTACAGATTCCTCAAATTTTAGTCCAGTAACCCTAACCCTAAAGCTAAAACTGGTTTAAGCCACCCTTAGCTGCTTTATAATTGCTGCGAACAACGTAAGATTTTTCCACAGCAGAGGTTTCATGAATCCCCTAAAACTTTAGGGGAGAAGGGAAGGAGTGATTTCCCTTGGGGAAAAACCTTCCAAAACCTTTAAAGGGCCTCTGGATGACTGCCTGGTGTCCACCCCTTGTATTAAACCAGTTTCCCTGCAACTTCCACCTTTGGTTCTAGTCAACACCTTACCAGGACCATTCGATTGGGCAAATGCTACCATATACTTGGGACAAATCCAAAGGTCAATTGTTTCCCCCACTGGTTATGTGCCAGTCCTCCATCTGTAGTCACATAAAATCTGACATTTTACCAGCAAGAATTGTTTCAAGGAATAGCTCATTCTCTAACCACTAATTCCTTTTCTACACCTTGGTGGCCATGCCTTTTAATGCTTTACCTACCACATCCTCTTAAAATTTGATCCCATGACTGTCTACGCAGCTCAATGTGCATTTATACAGACCTATGTACTTGAAGCATCCTTTCATAGTTACCCTCCCACCACTCCCACCTTTTAAAATTCCTTCCTTCTTCCTGGTGTTCCGGTAATTCTCCCATTCTCTTACCTCACACATCACCCACAAACCAGTATTTTTAAAGTTCACTTAGAGTTAAATCTACATATGTAAAATACTTCCATCTCCCAACAACTTTGTCTTGCTGTTCCCCCAGCGGGAGTACAGTGGCACTCAGATCACAGCAACCTCCGCTTCATTGGTTCAAGGGATTCTCCTGCTTCACCCTCCCATGTAGCTGGAATCACAGGCACTCACCACACCTGCCTTTTCGTATTTTCAGTAGACATAGGGTTTCACCACATTGGCCAATCTGGTCTTGAAGCCGGCTTTTATTTGCACCCACTTTCTACAGTTCATACTATATTAAGGTCAACCCCCCTTCACTGACATTTTACTGTTACCACAGCAACATTTGTAGACTGAAAACCTTGATCCCCTTCACCCAGCTAATGCAAAATTAACCTTAACTTTTAAAAAACCACACCAGTTGGGAATGCAACAACTTTATTGAAAGAAAAGTGCAATGAAATTTGTTGAAACCTTAAAACGGGAAACTTAGACACCCCCCCTCAAGCGCAGGACCAAGTGCAGAGTGGACTCTTTCTGGATGTTGTAGTCAGACAGGGTGCGTCCATCTTCCAGCTGTTTCCCAGCAAAGATCAACCTCTGCTGGTCAGGAGGGATGCCTTCCTTGTCCTGGATCTTTGCCTTGACATTCTCAATGGTGTCCCCACCTCTGAGACGGAGCACCAGTGCAGGTAGACTCTTTCGGATGTGTATGGACAGGGTGCGTCCATTTCCAGCGTTTCCCAGCAAAAATCAACCTCTGCTGGTCAGGAGGGGATGCCTTCCTTGTCCTGGATCTTTTGGCTTGACATTCTCAATGGTGCGCTGGGCCCACCTCGAGGGTGATGGTCTTGCCAGTCAGGGTCTTCACGAAGATCTGCATCCCACCTCGGACGGCGGAGCACCCAGGTGCAGGGTGGACTCTTTCTGGATGTTGTAGTCAGACAGGGTGCGCCCATCTTCCAGCTGTTTCCAGCAAAGATCAACCTCTGCTGGTCAGGGGATGCCTTCCTTGTTCCTGGTCTTTGCCTTGACACATTCTCGATGGTTCACTGGGCTCAACCTCGAGGGTGATGGTCTTGCCAGTCAGGGTCTTCACGAAGATCTGCATCCCACCTCTGAGACGGCAGCACCAGGTGCAGGGTGGATCTTTTGGATGTTGTAGTCGGACAGGGTGCGCCCATCTTCCAGCTGCTTTCCAGCAAAGATCAACCTCTGCTGGTCAGGAGGGATGCCTTCCTTGTCTCTGGACTTTGCTTTGACGTTCTCGATGTGTCACTGGGCTCGACCTCGAGGGTGATGGTCTTGCCAGTCAGGGTCTTCACGAGATCTGCATCCACCTCTTGAGGCGGAGCAACG